CAGTGTATCTTTATGGTCAAATTGATGATGTATCTATAGGACACTCCAGATTAGCAACTTCTCTAGCTATTCCTTTTTCAATTAAAACAATTGTTGGAGGACTGTCCATGGCTTTTTAAAAACATTATATTATTGGAGACATATGTGTGGTATGGAGGCTTACTTTGTGTTTCATATTCCCTTGTGGCAAATATAACATTTTTTAATATTTTTGTACATACAGTTTTTTTTTAGCAAGAATGTCGAAGGAGCCATTAAGTTATTCTTGCTTTAGCTAGCAACTGAACTGGGTCATACAATCAGGGTGTTACGTCGAAAAGATTCTTGTAAAACGGAGCATACTGTATAGAAATAGACAGTTATCTTTTCCACTGGTGGGTCAGATGATATCTCAAGGATACAACATCTCTTATTTTGTAATGAGAATGAACATTAGCCATGTTGTTAGCGCCCGCGCCCTGAGAAGAATGGCATTATTGTTTGTTATAAATAAGGTAAGGTTTTCTCAGTCTTGGACATGGTGATGAAGAACGATTTTGACAACAGATAAATTTGAGTTACTCGAAAGAAATCTCCAGTATATGTGCCTACGATATACATTTGTTTTTAACTTTGATTCTGTTTTTGTTGAATAAAGATTGTTTTACTATATTAAACTTGTATCCAGTCTTTTTCTTTTCTTCAAACTTAGTCGAGGTCAAAGAATTGGACTTTCGTTCCATCATAAATTTCCTTTTATTCTGCGGCTTCTACCCGATTACTTTTAAAGAAAAATCAGAGCACATGAGAATATCATATATGGATGACACTTTCTCTATTTTCTAAAAATTAGTGACTATATTAATAAATGTTTGGGGTAGTATATATATATATATATATATAGCAATCATAATAGCATTATATTCACGATTAAATTTCAGCAAGATCATGAACTTACATTTTCTTATTTGTAATTCAACTTCATACAAGTTATATAGCCTTTGAAAGTGAGGTTTACAATAAAAATGTTTTCTGGATTGTATTTCAACTTCACATAAATTACATATTTACATAAGGACAACTCAAGATCTTAGTTCATTGTGTATATAAAATCCTAAGCACCTTTGAATTTTTGCATGGTAATTGACAGCATCAAGGTCAATAAAATAGGTGCCTTATTAGAAAAATAATAATAATCAAGCTTCACAAAACCATCAGTATGTGAAGTTCCAAGGTGTTCACTTTTTATAACTTTACTTTATGGTGGTAAGTATGCCTTAAATGTTAAAAGACAGACTACCTCATGGAATATACCTTACCTAACAAATTAAGGTATATATTTTAAAAACAGGATGTTATCTCAAGTATTTCTTCAGATACGAAGATTGAGTCTCTTCACTGAAAACGTTAAATGTGGTTTATCAACTTACTTGTCCTTATTACAACTGAGGTCACGTTGATTCCATCAAAAGAAGCCTGCTAACAGGGGCGAAAGAACATGCAGCTTTAATAACACTGAATACATGAAACATAAAGAAACATGCCCTATGTGAATATCTTATAGTTATCCATTCAAATTACTCTAATATTTTAATAAAAGTTAATAACGAACAGCCCCCCACCCCTCCAGTGGCATAGCAGTATGTCTGCGGAATTATACTGCTCGAAACCGGGTTTCGATACCCGTGGTGGGTATAGCACAGATAGCCCTTGGAGCAGCTTTGTGCTTAATAATAAACAAAAAAATAATAATAACGAGCAAAACCCTCGTACAATCAGATTCTGCACATTAGCCAAGTTCAGATCAGCATATAAATTGTTGCTTAAGCTACCATCTCTCAAATCTAATAATAATGGAAAGAGAAGAATTATCTCTTGAAAGGGCAAAACTGCATCCTCGATATCCACAGGTACTCCTTTAATTTTACAAGTGAAACGTTTGATGTCTGTGATATTCTTCCCCTGATATTCTTGATATTCTAACAATGATTTTATGCAGTGATATCCGTAACCACTCAGCAGCATTCAGTGATTTAAACTCAATTAATTCTCAAGTACAACAAAATATATGACTTCCAACACCTCACGTCTGCTGGTATTATTGATCATTATAAATCACAAGGTTTTGGCTACTGGTAGGCAGAGTAGCTGAGTCAGATGTCCTCCGAGTCTGGGTATAAAATAAAGATCTGATTATTACTTTTAATTAGAATACTGAAGAGATGCATAAGGAATAAAATAGCCCGGGATGGCCAAGTGGTTAGGGCGCTCGACTCGCAATCTGAGGGTCGCGCGTTCGAATCCCCGTCCCACCAAACATGCTCGCCCTTTTAGCCGTGGGGGCGTTATAATGTGACGGTCAATCCCACTATTCGTTGGTAAAAGAGTAGCCCAAGAGTTGGCGGTGGGTGGTGATGACTAGCTGCCTTCCCTCTAGTCTTGCACTGCTAAATTAGGGACGCTAGCGCAGATAGCCCTCGTGTAGCTTTGCGCGAAATTTAAAAACAAACAAACAAACGGAATAAAATAAAGTTCATCTTAACAACAAGCACTCAGAGAATTTGCCAAATACAAAAGTTGCAGCATTTCTTGTTAATAGTAATTCTGTTGTAAGCTATGCTTTCAATGTGTTAATTTAGTTGTTTTGTAGAGAAAACTATTAACATGATGGTGACCTTAGAAAGTTTATAAAAGTAATCCTAGAATACATAGAATGTTAAAGACCAAGAGACTTTTCAAAATATTTAGAAATAAGGATACATTATAAATACACGAATTAGTGAAGCATCGGGTTCAGTTCGCTCAGTGACCTAGCAGTTAGTGAAATATTCAGATCACTAGACCCGTACGCAGAATGTTTGAGGGGGGGGGGGAGTTCTAATTTGTGAGATCAAAATCCAACACATATTGTGCTAAGCACAATCACCATGCAAAGCATGATTATGCTACCGGGGTCTGGGGACATGCGACGATTTCAAGCCAAATAAGGCTAATGCTTCATCAGAAAACTGTAGACTATATAGAAAACGTTAAATACCATAAGCAGCTGCGCTATTACTATATAAGCATTTTTTTTTTTACATCACAAAAGTAGTGAGTTCGGCAGAACCCCTTTGAATCCCCAACGTATGTGCGTGATCAGTGTTAATCATTGCGTATATTCAGTTACTTGGTCGATTAACTGTGAGATTAAACAAACTTATTTGTACGTTATCATAGTGTTACGTCTCCGTTTGTTAATTAACTTCCC